GTAGATGCATTGTACCTCTTCACACTCCTCTTTCAAGTTCTGTCTTCCAGAAACTGCTTTGTGCCCTCTTAGACTACAGTAAGCAGACATTGCCTTCTCCCCCACCACACACACTGCCCAGCCCAGTGACTGCACCAGGGATCTTTGCTCTGTTTATTTGCCTTTTGAAAATTCCCTCTTAGTGTTGCGCTTTACAGAACAAACAAGGTCTCTCAACTATCCTGCTGCTGTTGTTGTTGCTATTGTCTTGCCCTTTAATTAAATCTGACAGCCGCACAGGCATGTTTGAGCTGGATGCAAACCAAGGCCAAGTGGAATCAGCACAGGATGTCCTACCTTTTGAAAGCTGGAGTCTCAGTACAAAGCCTAGTGCAGAACAAAAAGAAATCATCAGCCAAACTCATCTTTAAATGTGAATGGGGTAGCTGGGTGTGGTGGCACAAGCCTGTAACCCCAGCTCTTGGGAGGCGGAGACAGGAGGAATTCAAGAGCAGCCTGGGCTACATAGTGAATTCCTGGTCAGTCTCAACTACATAGTGAGAACTTGTCTCAAAAAAAAAAAAAATGTGAATGGTGCTTGTGATTAGTGAGGTAGGCATTTGGTAAAATGTTTTTGTCATATCCATAGCTATGGCTTTATGATCTTTGTCTACCAGCTGAACTCACTGTCTTAATTGTCAACTTTGAGGATAGAAAATGATTCACTTAGAAGAATGACAGTCAAGCCATCTAAGATATCTCTTAGTGGCTCTTTCAGTGAGCAATTTCTGAGATCCTATGAAATGTGTAGCAGTGTGTTTGACTTATACTGGTTTAGGGAGAGATATTTATCAAATCACATCACAAATGTATGGCTATCTATGGAGATAAGTATAGGACAGATGATCTGGTCAGGATAGAGACAGAAGGTACTGGTGAGGAAATGACATTGAGCTCAGATATTCAAGGTAACAGGTTAGCTTGGTGAGATGTGTGTGTACAATACACAGTGTTGTGTGTGTACCACTTGTGTGCTGTGTGTGCTCAGGTGTGTGCCAGATGTGTGGTTAGAAAGTGAAGAGTGTTGTAGATAAGAGAACAATGTAACACAGACACAAAGGAGGAAGCATGGCAGATGTGTGCTGCCTTAATGGATTCACTCTGATAAAGGGAAACATCATGAAAAGAGATAGCAGTAATGTAGGCTACTGAGTGATGGTAGCATGAATGTCTTTAAGAATATCTAGAAAGACCCTATTTCTCCAGAAATGTCTCCATTAGCCACTGTTAGCTGGATCTCAAGTTGTGCTCCTAGACAGTATGATTCTCCTTTTTACAAAATAAAATTAATTTCTTTCAGCCAGTATGTATTGGGTGCCTACAATGAGCCAAGCAGTATTCTAGTAGTACACTTCATAACAATGATTTTGACAGTAATATCACCTCTTGTTGTGGAGCTTGTTTTTGTACAGGAATGCTATTGATTTCTTAGTGTGGGCTTTGTACCCTGCTATACCTCAGGACCATGCTCTTTTACAAAATAAAATTAATTTCTTTCAGCCAGTATGTATTGGGTGCCTACAATGAGCCAAGCAGTATTCTAGTAGTACACTTCATAACAATGATTTTGACAGTAATATCACCTCTTGTTGTGGAGCTTGTTTTTGTACAGGAATGCTATTGATTTCTTAGTGTGGGCTTTGTACCCTGCTATACCTCAGGACCATGCTCTTAAGTGAAATAAATTGGGCATGAAAGTTTAAATTTCACATTGTTTCTCTTGTGTGAGAAACCCAATGGGTAAAAAATGACCATAATGGAGGATAGATATTGGGAAGGAGGAAGAATAAGTTCAAATGGGAAAGAGAACAAGGCTGGGGGAAGGGGAAGAGAAGAAAGGTAAAAAGAAAAAAAAGGCTAGAAGAAAAAATGGAAACAATGCTTTTGTAGATGGGGAGGGGAAAAGGGTTGAAGGGAGGGAAGGAAATAAGAAAAAAAAGAATCAAAATATATCATATACAGATACAAATTCCCTAAAATGAATGTGATCAATATGTATGACAAATATGTACTAATAAAAATTAAAAGTTAAAACTTAAAAAAAATTAAAATGCCCCCCCCAAAATAATTATCATTTTTCCACTTTGTCAACATATCTGCTGGTAGTAGCATCCGGTTATGACTTTCCTTTCTCATGTGTGGCTTTGTAAGTTAGACTTTCTCTCCTCTCTAGCAGAAATGTGATAGAGTATGTTGAGTTTCATCTATTCGCTAATAGGAAAATGACAACATAGCAACCATGAAATATATCCTGCCATTAGGTAAGAAAAAAAAGATAACAGAATATCTCAATATTTACCCTTTACTGTACTTTATATAAATTATTTCTGGAGAACTGAATTTCACACACCTTGTGGTCTGCGTTCTTCAGGTGAAGGTGTACCAAGCGCAGTCTTCACACTGCTGAAGGAATGCTTGGAACTACGAAAATGACTTTCAGGGAAGACCGTTGTGAGAACATATGACACATTTTACCGCTTAATTTTTCTTATTAATTGGAAGAAAAAGGTGAAAGAAATGTTCTTCAGATTTTAAGGACGCAGAAACCTTAGTATTTGGCCAGAATCCGTAGTTAATTAAAGAAGGAAGCTGGTGTTTCCTGTAGCATAGGACCACTAAAAGAAAAACAATAGATGCGACAATGGCAAAGCTGGCAGGTCTGAATAGGGAGACTGCTTTTACCTCAGTAGCTTAGGGACCCTCATTCACAGGTTTTCAACTGTGTGTGTGTGTGTGTGTGTGTGTGTGTGTGTGTGTGTAATATACTATATGCATATACTTTAGTAGATATATATGTAATACACCTTATATATAGTATAGGGTTCATGTGTTTCCTACCTCATGAAAGAGAACATACAGATGAAGCTAGTCAATTCACCTTAGAATACTGTCTTCATAAATAACACTCCAAGACACTTTTAGCCCTCAGAATTTTGACCCAAGCATGATACATCCTTTTACCCTCAGACAAATGTTGATATGAATACTTAGTGACCCAGGCTTGAAGGCAGTTGCCTCCTAAGAGCATGGAAAAATCATGTAGTACATTATTTGCATGGACACACATAGTTTCTCAGACCAATCTGGGAAGCCCCTCTTCTCTTCCCACCATTGGGGTAATAGGCATCGATAGCACCCACATTTCCTGGAGGAAAACCAGGTAGTTTCACAGGCAGCACAATCTAGACATCCCTATGATTCTAAATTTAATTTAGAAAATGGAAACTACAGTCCAGCAATGCACACTCACGAAGTGTGGTTGCTTGGAGTGGTTACAAATTTAACAGCCTTGCCTGGGAGAACAAAAGTAATACGACACTTGTGGGGGTCATGTCTAGACAATGTTGCTTTGTACACCCAATGGAGATGTTATAAATAAAATCATACCCAAGACAATAAAGCACAATTTTTATCTGGCTCCCTCTTATTAACTCTGTGACTATTACCAATTTTTCTTTCTGTATGAACCTACAAATTGTGTCATATGACTCATTTTGAAACACTGCTTTCTATTTTTTAAGCCTATAAAATAGTTTTATTATCCCTGTGGTTATTTTGCCCAATTCACAACTTCAGTACTTTGGTCACTGGTGTCTGGAGAGTGCAGTCCATTACACAGCAGCTAAATGCTGCCCATATTGAGCATTGTGAAGCAAGGTTACAAATTCCCATATCAATCTTCTCCCACCAACCATGACCTCTGGAGCAGAGTTGCTTTTCTTCTTTTCCCTCAGGAATTCCGCATGTCTACATGGTGTCTTATTTCAGTTTAGCACAGTTCTCTGTGACATGGCATTTTTAATGCCTGGATGGCTTCAGAGCAATTTGAGTATGTTTTATCTACCCCAAAGTCATGTAGGTCTGTGGAGAGATTTAAGTGCTCCATTCTTCTGCCTCATATCCTTCTCTATTCTACTCCCAAAAGGGATCAGAAGGTTGTGCCCTTCTCTGTGTGTGATTCCAATTATTTTAGGTAGGCTCATTACCCTAGACAGAGGAGTATAAAGAGATTTCTTGAAGGCCTCCACTGCTCAGAGTACCAGTGAATACTTGCTGAATATTCTTTCATGTTAATAGAGATATTGACTTTAAATGTATATATCACTAGCTGTCCTCTGGGATACTCTTTAAAAGTTGTTTTCACACATCCATCAGCTAATGGATTGTTCTGTGATTTCAACACAGTAATTATCATTCATACGTTAACAACACACTGATTACTCTGTCCATTTAATAAAACAGACAATGTGTCTTTGAGGCTGAAGTTCCTAGGCTTTACCCATTATCCAGTTCTACTCTGCTTCCAGGTACAAATTAGTATTACATCTCCTCACGCCCTGATATATAGCTAGAACCACGAATCTAGTTCTAACCAGTGTGATGTGAGAGAAAGTGATGGATATTATTTTGGAGACAAAATGGACTTATGAGACCCTTCTATGTGCTCTTTACTTGCTGTTTAGACCATGGAGACACATTTCTAGATGGTGCATCCTGTACCGCTGAGTCACCATATGGAAGATAGTTGTTTTGGAGAGTCAGTAGGAATTTGTATGCATACCCGAGTTTTGCGAAACCATTGAGATTTTGATAGTTTGTCATTGCAGCATGATATATTCCTTATTAATCAATAAAGATCTCTATCACCATTGGGCTTAATATCATATGGCTCCATGTCCATTTCCCAGGGGCCATGGGAAGATTTAGAGTTCTCTGCTCTACATACTACTCCATCTGTCTGTCACAGCGAAATGAGGTCGTGCCAGACCTATAGGAAATTGTACAGCTTCTCATAGTGCAACTTGTACACATCCATGCAAGGGATGGGGGAAAATCATATAATGTGAACAGATTTCACCCTAAACCGTACTAATCATCAACTTCATTGGAACCGGCATCACCAGTGGTAGTGTGATAAGGTTGCGTGAACTCTTGTTCATTCACAACAAAATCTGACTCACTCTTGAGTTTATGGATGGCCAGCAAATTAGGGATCTGGGGAGTCCTCTTCATCACACTTGCTGTACGTCAAATTTAACAAGAAGTACTTGGTTCTGGGTTTGGAGGTTATTGAGGGCACATGCTCCTAATAGAAGGGAAGAGAAATACAGGAATCAGAGACAAATCAAGAGAGCATACTTAAATCCTCTACCCATGGTATATCACATCTCAGAACATAAATGAGTGAAAATAACCTGAATTGCCAAATTCAAAATGAATATGGTTAGCTCTGGGGTGGGGGTATATACTCTACCTGCTGCCCTTGGAGATACCACAGAGCCAGATCTATGCCAATAAATCATTGGCATAGATTTATACTAAAGAGAAGGAACAAAAATACACAAATAAAAGTACTTCTACCAATGAAGCTATACTGGAACAGGAAAAATGAAGGCACAGTAATTTAAAATAATTGTGAAATCTTACCCTCATTATAATCTTTTCCTGTGGTCCCATTCAGCTACATATTGAGTATTTCCTGCTCCTGAGATTTGAATATGGGTGTGTGTGTGTGTGTGTGTGTGTGTGTGTGTGTATAACCATTTATTCATTGCTTTTGTGTTGACCACCTGGCAAGTAACCCTTACCTCACCTCCTAATTTGACAAATGGCATTTGATTTCACTTTATAGTTAATTATTTTGGATTAATTATAAAATTACAGGAAACTCCAATTGAATCAGTTGATTATCATAAACATTCATCTTCAGAGCTGTATTTAAAAAATTTTTTTCCACTTACTGTTGCTATTGTTTTGATCAATATAACAATTGAGTATATATGTTATTTCAATTTCTCCTTCTTGCCATTGTGACTTCACAAAGACAAATTTAAATTTCCTGTCTTGGTTCCATCAGAAATATTCTTGGGAGCCTGTCCCAGTAGAAAACAATTCCAAGTCTTATATTCCATCACTTTTTATCTATATTGGTACACATATCATGAAAGTATGTGTCTGAACATTCTGTGAACTGGTAATTAACAGACAGACAACAGCCAGGTAGGGTGATACAAACCATAAGGTCAGCTATTTGGAAGGCTGAAGCAGGAGGTTCACAAGTCGGAGCCCTGCCTGGGTAACTTGGCAACTTGGCAAGACACTGTCTCAAAATGAAAAATAAAAATCCTGAGGATGTAACTCAGTCCAAAGGCTCTAGGTTCAATTCCTAGTACCATAGAAATGTAAGAGAAGATAGACAGTGACAGAATGGTAAATATCCTCATAAACTTCCAATTACTGAGGTTTTGAACTAAAACATGATGTGTTCTGTCATGGTTTTACCATAGCTGCTATTTGGGAAGTAGGAGTTGAGGCTGAAGAACCAGCTGATAAGCAGAGTGTGAGCCTGTTCTTGGAGTGTATGTGCTGTGAAATGGTATCTCTGATCCTAACTCAAATTCCATTCCTGGACACCCCTATGTTGAGCTCTGTTCTAATTTCTAGGGATAGAGCAACAAACAAAACATAAAAATCCCAGCCTTTGTGAGATAGTTTTTTGATAAAATCTGAAACAAATCAGAATCAGGAAAGACATTTTTAATAAGCTCAGGGTAAGACTTGTGAATATTCAGTGGCTGATTTTAAAAGAAAAGCATCTCATAACTACATTGAAGAAAAGAATGAAGTTTCATTCCATTTAAAAAATTGTGATCAGTAATGATGACCCCGGGAGATTAAAATACTTAGAGCTTCCCGGATGGCTGCTGGTGGAGACACACAAATGATGATTCTACTGTTTTTTATCTTCCAAATTCTTTTGATTTTAGGAATGCACATTCCTAGACCACTCCAATGGAGATGTTCTTTCAATATTCTTTACATGGGTCCTACAGTCACTCTGATCACCACCAGAGGCTAGAAGATCCTATGACCAACCATGTCTCAGAAACATAGCAATAAGAGGAATGGAAACTTTGGTCCAGGCTCATTGCCTCATTTTCTCTACCACAACAATCTTGCAGTGTAGATATATTTGTATTTCTTTTTTCCAAAATCACACTATTAATAAGCCCCAGATCTAAAATTTGAATGCATAGATAGGCACTGACTACCCTGGGGGTGACCAGAGACCTCTGGACCCACCACGTCCTAGGAGAACCCTTGTTCTTTCCATCCATGCTTACTCATGACTTGCTTCTCAATTGGACAACCATTACCTAAGTGACTATACTTGTAACTTTACTGGATGTTCTTGGTTGTGGCCCATGTTGTATCCAGATGGGTTTTACCCTGTAAAACTCCTGTGCAAATTGGAATCTTTGGCTACCCACTTAGGACCCCTTCTGCCCCTCAGGAGCTTTCCTATCAATAAATATCATTCTACTTTAAAAAGAGAAATTTGAAAGCATAGACTGAAGTCTGTCTCTGAGACTCAGGCTCTTTCTGTCATATTACATTTCCTTCTTACTTGTTAATTAGTTTATTCAATCATTCAATCAATGCTTTCTTTACAAAGTATTTATTGACTATTAATCATAGGTATATGTGATATGGGAAAAAGGAATTAAAATTCTAGTAAAATTTACAAATCATTATATTTGATTCATGTCCATAAAATATGTTATGGGAACTCAGGGGTCAGCTGTAGCTGGGGAAAGCCTTCCTGGAACAAGTTGCATTTAGACTGTGAATAGTTAAGGCCAGAAGGCCAGCATTCTGATAAGAAGAACAGCGTGAAGAAAAGATGAGGGGTTAGGAAACAGAAATTATAGAGAATTTCAGGATGAAAAAGCAGAAGTTTCCAAGCTACACACTAATTTTGGAGCATTTCAAACTGTATTTAAGAGTAGCAGTTTTCATCTGTATATCTAGATTCCAGAATCCTTTTTAACAAAAAGAAGCTATAACAGCTCAAGGCCAGCTCTGCCCTGGACACAATCCACTGAAGCAAGCCACTGCTATTCCGTTCACTAATTCTCATGAGCTGATGTGCACAGTCGCGTTGTCTGCTCCACAATTGTGTGCATTTGAGCTCACTATTTTCTGAAGAGAAGACATAGAGCAAGTGGCAGCAGATAAAACTACAAAGATCAGCTGGGGTATTTGCAGTTGGTTTTCCCCAGGGGTCCGGCTGATGGAAACGCCAAGTGAAGCTACGGAGCCTGTCTGGCGTTGCCTGTTTAAATAAGCTTTTAGCACCTCCCTCGGTGGATAGAGGAAAGCAGGATGCAGTGACAGCCCCAGACAAGTTCATTCCTGTGTGCTAAATCCAATGGTATTTCCATAGACAGAGAGTAAGCACATAGGCAGAGAGGGGCTGTGGGGCTGTATATTTGGCTAAACAGTTTTTTCTTAAAAGGTGGAGCAGTTGGTAATTAGTGAAATCTAACTTGTTCTGTGACTTAAGCGTTAGCTTTATTTAGCCAGCCAGGAAGACAGTAATGGCTCAGTTAAAGGGGGAGAGCCATGAATTTCCAAGATTGGTTTGGCATTTTCTTAACCTGGAGATAAATACTAGCACATAGAGCAAAGAAAGAAGAAGGACAAGTGAATGAGAGAGGGAAAGAGGGAATTACCAAAAGAGAAAAGATCAACAAAAATTTATCGAGCACCTACTATGTGCCAGGAACCTCCCTGGTGGGCAGACAAATGATATATTTGGGCTCTTTTGTTGGCTGATTCTTTGCTGTTGGATTTTTTTTTTTTTTTTTTTTTTTTTTTTTTTTTTTTTTTTTTTTTTTTTTGTAGAAGAAAAGCACTATGGAAGTTATTTACCTGAATACCAAAATGTGAAGTCTTCGGGTCAGTTAAACTAAGAACAGATGGAAATTAGGTAACAAGAACCAGCCAGTTGTGCTCAGCTCAAATACATCTGAAGACCGATTCTTTATTCCAAGGCATAAGTAACAGAACACTGACTCTGCTCTGTGCAGTTGGGCTAACTGCAAGGACTTGAGGTTTGGAGAAGACAAATGGTTAAAATGACGTTCTGCCTTTACAAGCTGCAGCATCTACCAAATATCTTGGAGCCTCAGTTTCCTCTCCTGTGAAATGGGAATCACAGCTTTGTATTATTTTCAGAGTTTGAGGAAGGATTAAATGAGGCTACACTTTCTGACACACGGTAGGTATTTTATAATAAGACATAATCTCCCCTCTTTAGCTTTTTTTTTTTTTTTTTTTTTAAGATTTCTTAATAGCATAGTCCAAACTGTTAGCAGGTCTGACTGGTTTTATTCAATCTGAGGAAGAGTGGACAAGAAAATTTCAGGTCTCCCACCCTTTAAATGAAAGCTAATGAAAAATAGATGTTCTCTCATTTCCTTATTTAGCTGTCTGCAAATTATGTTTTCTGATGCATGCTGGTTCATCTGCTATTCCATGACTTCAGACACTGAACTTTGAGTCTTTGTCACATCAGTAGTGCCGAGTAATTCCATACAGAAGTCTGACATTTCCAGTTGAAAAAAAATAAATTGATTAAAATTCAACAGGCATGTAGCGTTCAGCATTTAAAGGTCGAGGAATCTAGGGAACGATCAACTGTAAGATAATTCAGCATTTAACACGGGTGGGGGCAAGCAGGATGTGTTTCCTTCCCTCACAGCCCCAGCATTTCACTGCTGGGAACATAATTGTGGCAAATTTAATTATAGCCTCAAGACAGATCATCCATCTTTGGGGAACCTTAGTGGTTGGGCATCCCAAGAGTAAGAAAAGATCGATTGAACTTCCCATGGATAGCATCTTTACCTCTGTTAGTCAAGAATCTCTTTCCTTGCCTGGGCTCTTTGGATCTGCTCTCTCTCTCTCTCTCTCTCTCTCTCTCTCTCTCCTTTTGAATGTCTCGAGACACTGAAAGCCACTTGGTTATTTGCTTAAAAAGAGAGGAAACAGAAGTCCTGTGCTTGAGCTCCATGCTGCGTGCCCCACATTACACAGGCGTGGCAGATGTCTGCCTGCTCATCTTTATCTAGCAAATAGGTAGCGTTGCACTGGCGTATGGTAAGCAAGTCAACAGAAAGTGTTTATTGATTAAATGAATTAAAAGACCAAGCTTCAAGTTCAGGTTCTTTTATACATGATTAGAGCTTGGGCAAGTTGTCCGCTCTGGGCCTCAGTTTCTTCCTTAGTAAGCTAGAAATAATGTGCGTTCCACAGTTACTATGCTGTTTTTAATTACATTTCTCTGCAAGACAGTAAGTTGATTTAATGAAAGAACTAGTATTTTACGTCAGTGCACATCCCAATCATGCCCAGCACAGTACCAGGAAAAGGGTGTGTATTAGACAGAAGTAAAATGGATTAGAATCTGTACCATATAGCAGCAACATGACATAGGATTCAGGAAAACAGAGCTCTAAATATTTGTCCTGTCACCATGTATGATATGACCTCCAGGGTTTAATTTGTTTATCTGTTACATGAGCAATTAATGTTTAGTAAAAAAAACTCTGGGGTCCCACTGAATTCTTATATGCTTTGATCCTTATTCCTGTTTTATTGGGATTGTAATCATTAGGGACTATTTATTGAAAATTAATGGTGATTTGAAATTTTAGCAAGTGAAAGAACTGTCTTGTGAAAAGACAAGGTGACTACGTGGGGCATGACTGCTCTCTGAGAATATCTGAGGAGGTTTTGTGACAGGGCTGTTGAACACTTCTCATTTCTACTAGGAGGAATGGGCTTGGGTTATTGCAGGCAAGGGTGCAATTAGACATGAGGAGAGATTTCTTGATTACTTCAGGGATAAAATGATGCCTACTTTCAGTATCCTCTACAGGTGAAAGCTGGAGTTCCCGATGAGTCAATGAATCAACAAATATTTGCTAAGCCTGTACGGTGCTCATTTATCACTTTGTGACATTTTACTGGAAGTATGGATCACAAGCCACCTGCATCAGAATCACCTGGAGTTCAGTTAAAAATGCAAATTCTTAGACTCATCCCTACAGAATCTTATGCTGAGGAGCTAATGTCTGGAGTCTGTGTTTTAATAAGCTGCCCAGGTGATATTTCTGCACAGCCTAAATTTAGACAAGCACTTTGCTTGAGTGCCATAGCTCCAGCAATATTTTCTCCAGACCTAATGCCTATTAAACTAATAATAATGACAGATACCATTATTTTACCTGTGTCACATACAATAGTCACCGCCACCTTGTGAAGCGGGTATTACCTCCCATTGAGATGCGAATAAATAGAGTTTGAGTGGCAAAGTGACACTATCAGAAAGTGGCAGGATCAGAGCTTGGCCTGGGGTTTCTGCACTCTCAGTCCATTATTCCATAGCTGCTTTCCTGACGTGCTGGCTCCTGAGAAGTGGATTCTGTGAGAATCATGTTTTGCAGCCATGACCTTGTTTGCATCTGGAGGATGATAAGAGGTTGAAGAAGGTCAAAAAGAGACCAGCTCATCCATATTCAGGTTGTTCTGTTAGTTTCGACTTCCAGAAAGGAGACTGAGCAAAAGATGGATCTCTAGTTCCCTGTGGAGACACTAAAGCGTAATTTCTCAGAATGCAGCTATTTTCCATTTTCTTTCAAGGAGGACATGGAATTTGGTACGGGATTTTACTGTGACCCCTACAGGTTACTCAAAGCAAAGAAAGCTGATGACCTTCATAGATTTTAGCACACAGAAAGGACTTCGGAGAGCCACCTTGAAATGCTCTCATTTGCTGTGATCCTTGTAATAGGAAACAAAACAAAACAAAACAAAACACTGTTTAGATGCTCAGCTTTTGGAGGTCAGACAAGGTCATGAAGAGCCAACCCCTCCCAGCTTTAGATAAGGGAGACCAACGGAGAGATTATTCACTAACTGAACTAGCAATTTAACAGTGAAATTATCTAATAACTATTTACATCTATTATCAATGATTACCTGACAGGTGTGTTGGAAGTAAAAGGCAAGTTTCAGACAAATAAGATACAAATACAGGTGATTTTGAGGGTGCTTACTTAGTCTTTCTTCAGGGCTTTTTTTCTTTTTTTTCCTTTTTGTATACTTGGTATGCACTCAGGTCTTTAGTGTGCATCCAACCTAATTTTCTGGAGTTATAACGCCACCTAGAATATTTTAGGAAAATCATTGAAGAGGTATGGAAATAACTGGAATGATTTCACTAATTTTTCAGGTTTATTCATTCAACTTGCATCTCTTGTAAGATTAAGGAGCCAGGGGCTGCAGAAATGATTACTTCTCATTTTGGGAGAATTCATAGTGCTAAGAAAATAACGCACAACAGAGGCAGCCCCCATTTGGATGTTTTTGCCATGAAATGTTCTGCTCAAGCAGTGTTTTGCTATATGACCTTCTACCTAAGGTTTCAAGAATGCACTGTTAACTCCACCCACCTGACTCAGGGAGCATGGTCACCTACAGATGGGCCCACCCTCTTACCCCATAGATCTCTACATAAGGCTGCTGCCATCTCTGCTCAGGGCTCAAACTTCAGAGTCTGAACTCCTCTGAGCCTTCCAGTGTAATAGAGGCACCTTTTGTCTCTCTGAACCCTGCTCAACTTGTTCACCTCTAGAGACTTTCAGATAGTCGTAACACTTGGCTCTAACACAGAGATGTAACTTTAGCTATCTCACTTTGCTGTAACAGTAGCATTGTGAGGACATAGAAAACAGTTACCTTAGCTACCACCAAGGAATTATCAATATTACAAGAGAGGAAAAGACCATAAGATTATCCCAGGAAAAATAACAGATCTTATTAAGGTAATAATGCCTGTGCATGTGTGTCCATGAAATAGTCTGAGTGCCCTTGGATAAGTCACTTAACCTCTCTGGACTCTAGTTACCTGATCTCAAATGTAAGAAAATCACATGAAGTGTCTCAGAGGTGTTCTCCAGTTTTAACAGTCTCTTATCCCACTTTTATTTTTATGAGTGTAAGCTACTGAATTAGATATATGCCTTGTTTTCAAAAGTGCCAAATAGATTACAATACTTTTCCCCACTTCCCAGAACAACTGAAATCTGCTTAGAATCTAAGATCCCTTAATGAACACCTGGAATAAACTATCGATTTAAAGATGAACATACGAGAAAGTCCAGAGAGAGAAAAGAACATGTTCAAGTCACATGAGAGTTAATGGTTAGAAGTCTTAGAAAGCAGCTTCTGGAAACTGATTTAAGAAGAAAGTTCATCCAATGTATATTTCACTTCAGTTTTCCAACTTTGTATTTGGTCCTGGGCATTTTTGAGACTCTTTCTTCTGATATAAAATTACTTTGTTAGCTTTGAAAAAATAAAATGCATTATGCATGCTCAGGGTGGCTTTTAGAACCAACATAATTAACAATGTGAAAGATGCAAGAGGAAAATGGATATTTTTTTAAATGCCAAAATTATGAACAGAAAAGTAGCTCCTTGCTATGTTCCTGTGCTCATTCCATCAGATCTGCAGTATGACATCTAATTAAGGACTCTCAGAATTGAGGCTGTGGAGGTCTCGGAGGCAGTTGTGAAAATGGTAGGAGTTGAGAAACAGCAATGTAAGCATTGATGAAGTTAGTAAAGGTTATCAATTTAATTATTTTATTTTTGAAATTTTTCATAAAAAATAACCGAGGCTTATAGAATAAAAATATTTATTGCATCAAATTCATGAACTGTAGCTAAGTAGACAATGTTTCATTTTGGATTTATTCAGTAGAACTACAATGACACCCAGACAAATATCAAATGTTTTTTCATTCTCCTCTTTAGATTTCAGCATAGGCTTCATATGCAGGTTGATTTCTCAGCTAGACCTGAAATCAGTCATAACAACAGCCTGGGCTATGCATCCAATTCCATGCGTGTAATAAAACATGAGTGAGCATTTTCTTCTGATGCATAGAGTTCTCAGCGTGTCTCTCAATAGATGGATTTGACTCACTTATCCATCCCTAAGCCAGTAACTACACACTGGTAACATTATGTTTGTTGAACTTTCTGCTCATTCCTTCCCAAACTCAATGGGTACTGCATATTTAGTGAGGGGAAGGGTGAATTTTGGAAGAACATCACAAAGTACATCAGAGGTTGAGGGTCAAAGTGACAGTGATGGTGTTACTATGGTGCAAAGACTATACTGAGAAGGGTGGTAAAGCCACTGAGGTGATAAAGGTGGTGGTGGTGGTGGTGGTGGTGGTGGTGGTGATGATGATGATGATGATGATGATGCTCTATATCGCCACTATCACTGTCACTACCACCACCATATAGACAGGTCATTAAGGTAAAGTTCATGACAGTGATGAGGTTAATAAGTTTTATTTAAAGACAAAGGCCAGCATTTAATTGTCAGGAGCTTAGAGAATTTGCATGCTTGTCCCATGTACTCTTCTTAAATAAATTGGCCCTGACCACAGGCCTCATTTATCCCTTTATATAATCTAATTGTATCCACTTTCTCTAGCCACACCTGATTGGATGAAGGAGGCTACCTAATCGTGTGTACCAAGCCATCATTTGAGCAACTACTCTAAAAGAATAAGACACAGTCTATCAAGGATTTTTACTGTTATATTAGTTCCAGTCAGCTATGGAAAGGCTCTTGAAGTGGTAAATCTAATGTTCTGTATTATTATAAATTCCATCATCAGTTCCCAATTATTTATCTCCTCACTCTTGCCACGTTTCCCTGTCCCAGTGCCTTGGGGTGTTGCCATGTAACATAACCAAACCAATAGATATGAGCAGTCACGATGGTAGACACACATGGATGAATCGTTTTCATTTTATTCTGTAGCTTGGCTGGTCTTTGTGCTCTAGGCCACATTGGCAGGAAGAGTGCCATCCAGATAGTGGCACCCTTTTCAGCCTCATTTGCAGAACAAGAAGTCATCTAGAATCCAGATGAGCCTGATGGGGCTTTAGTTGACAATATCCTCAAGGAATATGAGTGAGAATTATGAATGTCTTTATGATATTTTGAAGATAAGTATTAATACAGAATAACCTAGACAATAGATGACTGTGACATTTGTAGCCAGAGCTGGAGCAAGCAATGCAGTGGGCAAAGCCACATGTCAATTGTAGTGATGAGGAAATAGAGGATCTATATACACTCAAAGGACACTGGCCCATAGAATAATTAAACAATATTTCAACATTTCTTTCCTAAGACCACCTGGAGGATTGGAGTTCAGTCCAAGGCCATGAAGATGCAAGTAAATGCAGTGCTAGATGTAATAACCCTGGGGTTCCACACTGAACTCCAACCTTCATACTGAGGTAGTCTCACTCCTATTGGTCATCAGAGCCAAGGCAGCTCCACACTGAACCGAGGAGTTTTCCTTTATAGGAGAAAATGACTTCTCTTTGCCTTATTTTCTCCAAAGGGAAGGAAAAGGAGAGGGCATCTTACCTGATTCAACTCCCTTCTCTTACCATATTTAACAAATCTGTTTATTAAGTCATATTTAACACTTATAAATCAAATATTCTTCAGCCTGGATCATGTTTCCTACTACAAAATGATCTTTAGGTTCTGTTATAGTTTCTGATGAAACAGATATTTAAACGAAGGCATTCTGACCATTTTCTACAAGAAAAAAATCCTGAAGATGAAAACTTCTGTGATCTTTCTGAAGTCTTTCTTTATGTTTTAAAATGTCACATAAATAATAAATAATCATTGTTAGAAATTTTTAAAAGATTATTTCTATAGAATCTCAATTTCCTCATCTGTCAAAAAGAAATATGCTTCTCTTCAGGATCATGTGCCTATGGTGTAAGAGAAAATGTGCAAGGTGCTTAATAAAGGCTAAGTACTCTAGAAATGAAAAAAAATATTAACATTGAGGAGAATGGTGGGGTAGGGTTACTGCAAGAAAAGGAAGTGAGACAAATTTGCATATTAAAAAACAAACACAAAGGTCTTTTGGGGGGCTATTTGGAGAATGGAGAGAACAAATTATGCAAACAATAAACATGTCCAAAACGGACTGGAAAGGAAGCCCACAGTGAATTCCATCTGTTTTCTGCCTGCACCTGTTATTTATTTACTTTTCAGCTTCATCAATTGAGGACAAATTGTTATTTTTTAAAACCGCAAAGCATAAAGGAGAGAAAAGAGAGGTGGAGGAGCGAGCAAGTAGGGAATGAAAAGAGTAAGACAATGATAGCTAATGTGCACTGAGCTTTTACTATGTGCCAGGGACACTCGATGTGTTTTGCATGAAATAATATATTTACTATTCACAGCTCCTGTATGGGCAGGTTACTCTTATCTCTATGTTATAGGTAAGAACTGGAGTGGAAATGCAAGTGCTTTGCCCAAGATCTACTAATTGGAGAGAAGAGTTCACTTTCATCCTCAAAAATCTTATTCCAGCTGGGAATTTAGCTCAGTGGTTCCACCACCTGCCTGGAAAGCACAAGGACCTGAGTTCAATCCCTGGTACAAAAAAAAAAAAAAATCTTATTCCAAAGAATGACCTTTCAAATCACTACGATATGTGAAGTGTGACCAAAAACTATGCTGAATGTTTAATTGTCTTTAAAACAATTAAAATAAAATGCACATTGCCATTTATCCACCTCAAAATACTGTCACCTGAAAAACACCCCATCACTCGCCAGTTTTTGAAACAATTCTTTTTTTTTTTTTCCTTAAATTCTTTAATGGCACATTTTAGGCATACAATACATTTACATTTGTCATTGGGAACTCGTACCTTTCCACGGAAAGGAAGAACTATAAGAGGGAAAATTGAAACAATTCTGAAAGTCCCCTTTCATGAGTGTCTGGTTGCACTGCCATGGCTTTCTTGATGTCCTCCATCAGTTCCCAACCTTTGTGTTTCATTGTCATTTTGATTACAGGGAAGCCAGGTCCAGTGACTAGGTGGATGTGCCATCATGTTTTCATGAGTCTGCTTGTTTGTTAGATGGCTCTCTGCAACGACATTCACCAGAGATTCTGTGGACTTCCAGAATGGCATAAGAAAGTGGCAGGAACGGTGGGACAACTGTGCTCAAGGTAAAGGGACGTATTCTGAGAGGAATTAAAGACAACGCATCTTTTACCAAGATAATTATTTTAATTTAATCCTTTACTGTATATCTTAATCATGCCTTGGATAGCATTCCAAGGTAGACTAGGATGACCTGGAGAGATTTGCCAGGAGAGCGAGAGACGAGAAAGTGAGTATCTTCCTTTTCTTGTGGTCGGACAGATTTTTATATGTGGAACAGATAAAGGATTAGTTTGGAAGCAATACTTTTTGGGAACTATACTGACTCTTAACAGCAAGTGACATTTGACTTATGACTTTTGAGTGTTTAGGAAACCTTTGAACTTCAGTTTTCTCATTCATAAAATCCTCCATTTTTTAAACCACTTACCTGTATGCATCAAATAATAACACCACACACTCCTAATGTAACTACTATGAAAACTAAATTATAAAAATGTAGATGAAGTAATTTTGTGCACAGTGACTGCTCGATGAATGGTAGCTACATTATAATAATTATACATTATTATTAAATTAGTTGAGGAGAAATAATCAAGGAATTCTCTGGGAAAGAAGTGATATTTCAGCAGTTTCTAGTGTTCGGAGAGGATTTTCAAAAGTGGCACTAAAGTAGATTACACACTCTAGCAGAAGACATAAACAGGAGCAAGTAAGTATTAGATGTGAGGAAACCAATACGTGGAGGGCAGAACCCTCTGCCAAGAATGAAGAAAGAGTATGGCACATCTCAAAGATGGATTAAACCTACAAGTACTTTGCCCTCTGCACTTACTTTCTCCTGAAGCTTTTGGGGAAGCTACGAACCGAGTCATTATGGGATCAGACTTAAATTGCAGGATTTCATTATTAAAATGAGGTCCAGATAGGGTTCAGTCCCCTCAGATAAAACTTCCTGTGTATACCACTTCCTTAACCAAAACCTGTGACATACCATGGCTGTGTTTTCTCCCACTGACACAGCACACAAAGAAGGTGAAATAAAGATCAGACGAACACAAAGGGAAATCTTGGGAAATGAGAGGGCCATACTGTCATTTCGAATACATTTTCAATAAATGCTTTCAAGCATCCCCAGTTGGAGCCTGGTGCTGTCATATGTGTAGCACCCAGATCTAATCCCTGGAAATGTCTCCCCTGTTCATTCTTCTCTCCAGTTCATGCCTCTGCCTGCTGACATCTTCACTCTTCTCCCTCATACGTGCTTACCATTTCACAACAAATAACCTTTTAATACAACTAGGTAAATTCCATAGCCAGTAGAGACCTCTTAGAAACATGATCCGGATCATTCTTTTTAGTCTGACTGGGTGATCTATTGTTGTTATAACTCCCTTAAAAGATTTGTTGGCTTTCTATACATCAGACTGTAGTCCAATTCATTTGAAAGCGGCTATAACTCATTTACAATGCTACTCTTTACTTTAGCCATGTTTCGTATGCTATCCTGTCATGAGAAAAATAAAATGCCCTTTAGATCCTGAGGAGCCCTTCTTCTGACTGAGAAGGTCTACTTTGCATATTCTGATGTATAACAACCACAGTTTCAGACTATCAGATCTTTTCTGACTTTATTATTTATCGTTTTTGTCAAGGCCAGATTGTGTTCAGAAGTAAATTTTCTTATTCATGATGTATTCATATTATTTTGGTGCACAATAAGAATTGTGTAATAAGTTTTTACACATTAAGTGTTTTGGTCTATATATTACACTTCTGGTTTTTTTCTGTGAATTTGGCTTTCAAAGAAATCTACTGGCAGCATTACCCCAAAATGATATCTGATTGCAATACCATTCTTGACCATATTTACTCCTTTAGTTAACCCTACAGTTATCTTCATGAAATTGGATGATGATTTCCATTTCATAGTTTACAAAAAGGAAAAGGAAAATGAAAACTCAGATTAGTGTACGTTGCAAAATTGTACCATTATTAGCATAACTCTTAAGTTTTAATCTGTCTGTCTTTGAAGCTAGAAAACAGACCACTCCCCCCCACTGTGCTTCATCATAATGATTCCTCCCTTCCGGCGGCGTTTCACTTTACAGCTTACCAAGAATGGTCTCATTTGATCTTATGTAATCCAAGCTTGAGAGATTAGAAAGGGGATGTCTCCCTTATAGCCAAACAGAAGTCCACAGTAAACTGCAAAAATAAATAAATAAAGCTGCCTCTTCTCAGCCTCACAGTGAAAACAAAAAGGAAACCATGCACCTCAAAACAACTCCGTTTCTGTGTCTTCGAGACACAAGTGCTTTTGTCTAATCACTTCAACCACCTAGCTTGGACATCCTGACTGCTAGTAAGTATGCGAGTATTTAGCAATTGATGCTGCCTCTCCTTGCATTTCTTTCCCTTCTCTGAGTTTGGTGCTAGAAGACAGATGATTTTCAGCTGGGGAGAAAGGCCAGACTGGATCTTCTTTGCACAAACTGTGCAGGCTACCCTTGCGGACATAATTAGAGCATCACTCACATGAAGAGTGTGGTGGTCTGAAGGAGAGTGTCTATACAACAACTGGTTATAAGTTTTCGAATGAACTAGAAGAGAGGAGTTTAAAGGTCCCCCATACAAAGAAATGATAAATATCTAAGGAGCTAGAAATGCCAATTAGTCCGATTTCATCACTGCACATGACACACACATCTCAAATTGTCAGAGTGTACTCCATTAATACACACGATTATTATGCATCAATTTCTAAAAAGAGAAAAAAAATTGATATTAGAATCCAATGCAGACAGTATATCTAAAAGTGCACCTTGACTTGTTAAAATCATCTTACATATTTCATATGTTCTGTTGCCTATTAGTCTGGTTTTCAATCTATCTATGACATTAACTTTATAAGACCTTGTAAGATAAATAAATGAATCTGATGCTGGAAAAATAAAATGGGATGGAGGGAGGGAGAGAAAAGGAGGCAATTGAAATGTGTTATGTACACATACCTATCCCCTACATTGAATGCAATCATTATATCTGCAAATGTGTATTAATAACCCCCCAAAAAATTGAAGAAAGTATTATTCTGGTTGATATTTGGGAACCAGGTAGGTCGGACTCAAATCTAGTGGAAGCAAACCTCTACTAATATTTTACAAATTTTACTTAAATTTTTAAAAATCCAAATGTGGACTTGTGTGTATTCACTGAGCATTCAGCACTTTCAGCTCTCACCTAGTGTCCCTGAGTGCCAGCCACCAGTCAGAGTGGGCAGTCTGGCCATGATCTGTATACAGCAGGGTGTGCTTGTCAAAGCAATTGCTTTTATTATTGCATTTACACCTTCTTGTATTACAGTTGTGAATGGGAAGTGGTGAACACAAGTGCTGCTACCTGTAGCAAAAGCAAAAAATATAATAAACTTAATACAATTAAGGAAAAGACGGAAATCATTTGAGCATAATATTTAACAATTTGCATGGACTCTGAATACAGGTTGCTCTGAATCTGTGTCCCATCAGTTACTAACTGGATGCTTTTAGGCAAATTTATTTTCCCTCTTTAATAAATGGGGATTCTAATGACTGATTTCTCGTATGTGGAATGAGGCTGAAATTGCATAACCATGAAAGGTGTTGGACACGCTGAAAGGCAGCTGTTCACAAAGCAATGTCTCCCCAACATAGTGTCACCTACCTGGGAACTTGTTGGAGATGCATATTCTCAAGTCCCACTCCAGATGCCCTACACCGGAAACCCTGGGGTGACCCAGGCAACCTGTGTGTTACTGCACCATCCAGGGGACTCCAAAGCACCCCAAAGCTGGAGCACTGTTGCTGTGAGTTATGGTGGAGAAGAGCAGGCTCAGAAGTTAGATGCTCTACATTGAAATCTCTCATTTGCCTTTTACCAATTGCATAATGCAAGGTGAATTATATATACTTGTTAGTGCTGCACTTTTCCCATCTGCAAAATTAGAATGGTATGCTTTTCCTGGATCTGAAATGAGAACTTAAAAATCTATATCTGTACCTGTGCTATATATACACATAGTGTGTTTGAATGGTAGCCCTCATTAAGGAGAAGCTGGTTGTTTTGTGGTTCTGATTATTGTATTACAACTTTGTGTTAGAAGTGTACTCAAAATCAATTAGCTTTATAATTAATTGTGAGTAAAATCAAAATTGAACAGTATAGATGATGTGTCGAACCTATATTGTGAAAATCTTTTCTAACAGTTGGAACAAACACGCATTTTATTCATTTTTCTAGTTCTCTAGGAATGGACCCTCCTCTACAGCATGGTGGTCTGCAATATGATTTTGACCTTCCTATAGTTTTAAAAGAATATATCATTTCAAAATATATTGTCCTATATATATATTTCAAAATATATTGTCCAAAACAACGCTGGCCTAGAGCTACGTTTGCTCACCAAGGACTTCTTGCTCTGCCAAGGAGGATGGGCAGACAAAGAGTGTGGATGTCCAGAGCTCTTCAGGCCAGTTCCCCCACAGTGCATTTGCTTTGGCCAGAGGCCCACTGCAAAAACTACCACTGGGAAAGGGAGCTTAATGCCCTGCCTCTCAGGTACAGCCTGAGCAGGCGTGCTCAGCAGGTGCGGCCAGCGGGCTC